TGAATAGTGAGGCACGAGAATGTTTATAAATTTTCGCGGAATAAAAATCGCAGGGATAAAGTAAAGAGCGGAATAAAAAGGAGTAAAGGGAGCACACCAAGATTTATACTGGTTCACCACAACGTGTGGCTAGTCCAGTCTCCCGAGAGACTCTCTCGAGCTACACTACTTCCGTTAAGCTTACGGGTGCTTAACAAACTGTTACAACCTGAGAACTCGAGTCCCACGAGCCTCAATACACTTGCTCGGAGATACCGCACTCCAAGACTTCAACCCGAAGGAAAATACCTTTCTCGCCTTGTATATTCAACCACTTGTCTCGTTCACGGCAGTTTGACATTATCAAAACCTGTCATAAAAACGAACACGGCTTTAGTACGAAAAAGCGATAAACCCGTGTTTCAACATTACTTATATTCATAATGAGTTTATACCATTCATTCAAAATATCTTGTGTGAATGTTTTAAGATATTAACGTCTTAATAAGGAAATAATATCTTAGATTATGCAGACATTACCTTTAGCTTATACGAAGCGTCATATACATAATGTCTAATCTGACTTGTTATTTACATAATGTCTATTTTGTTAGGTTTATAATGTATTATGTGACTTGTTATTTACATATTGTGTTATCTGATTTGTTATATGCATAATGTCTAATAAGATTACTTTTTTACATAATGTCTGCATGATTAGGTTCATAATGTTCATATGCATACATTACCCTTATGCGATATATACATAAAGCCTTAGTTTTTAGTGTTAACATAGTGTCTTAGTTTTATATCAACCAATTGTTACATGTATTTTAGTGCAAAATATCCAACAACTTTTTTCTTAACAAAGCCTTTAAATTTTTATACAATTTCGTGAGCACGTCCTATACATATGTGTAAACTACAGTCTAATATATCAATACTAATATTAATTGTTATCATTAATTATAGGAAAAATTATCTCAAATAATCCCACCTTTTCGCGCTCTTTCAAAAATAATCTCACTTTTCACTGTCACCGGAAATAATCACACCTTTTCGCATGTGTGCGAGTTTTGGGTCACCGTTAAAAAACTAACGGCCACTTAACGGAAGTTTTTGAAAATGCCTGCTTTTTGCAAATAAATGAAAGGTGGGATTATTTTAGAAAAATGTACTTTTTACTTTTTTAGTTTTGAATTTAAAATTAATATTTTTAAAAATATAACAATACACTCTTGTTAGAGATTTGTCTAACGATTAACAAATTTTGTTAATTGTTTTGGGAAAATATAGTGTTGAATTATCAAAAATAATTCAGAGTATCGATCAAGAAAGAAATTACAATAAAAATTTTTTAGTGATTTATAAAATTTATGGGTTCCGTAAATTCAGTATTATTTCCAAAAAAATAAAATAATTCCGTAAATTCGGTATTTTAAAATTTTTAGTGATTTATAAAATTTATGGGTTACTCTAAAAACACTTAAATTCGGTATTATTTCCATAAAAATAAAATAAAAATACATTTAAAGAAATTAAAAAACGAAAAAGGGAGAATTTACCTAAAATAATCACACCTTTCATTTATTTGCGAAAAATGGGCATTTTTAAAAATTTCCGTTAAGTGACCGTTAGTTTTTTAACGGCGGCCCAAAACTCGCACACATGCGGGAAGGTGGTATTATTTCTGGTGAAAGTAAAAAGTAGGATTATTTTTGAAAGAGCACTAAAAGGTGGGATTATTTGAGATAATTTTTCCTTAATTATATTAGTATTATTGGAATAGCTTTACTCCACCTTTCTCTATTCCTATACTAACCGTTTCTTTGGTTTCTCATTCATGCAATTCTTGTAATTATCATGTAAAGTCTCTTCACAGTGTACCTCCTCCACTATTTAATGTGGCTTTTGATCAATGACAAGAATCAAGTCAGGTTATACATTCATATCAGTTTCTATATGGTATCAGAGCTCTTTCTCTCCTAACGGAGCATTATTGTTTTTATCTGATCTTTGGGCAGCGATGTCTTCCTCCGCTGATCTTTCTACCGAACTGGTCTATGTGGCTGGGTCGAAGCATTTTCCTATCAAGTTAACCAAAACCAATTTCCTTGTGTGGCGCCAACAAGTTCATTCTACACTTGTTGGTCTTGATCTCCTCGCGCTTGTTAATGGAACGGCTGCTACACCCGACAGATTTCTTGATGCTGGTAGCAAAAAGCCTAACCCGGCATATATGCTATGGCATCGACAAGACCAAATTCTACTCGGCGCCATTCTTGGCAGTCTCTCTAAGTCGGTGCAGCCCCTTATTTCTCTTGCCACCACAGCACATGAAGCCTGGACTCAGCTTACCACCCATCTGGCCAGTATGTCCAGAGGACGTGTTCTTTCTATTAAAGCTCAGTTGGCCGAAAACCCTCGTGGTTCACGGTCTATTGAAGAATTTATGTCTGACATGACCACCATTTCCGACGAACTTGCACTTGCAGGCAGTCCGGTTGACCCTGATGACCTCCTTATGGTGTCCATTATGTCTCAACTTGGTGAGGAGTACACCTCGATCTACCAATCTCTTCGGGGTTGGAATGACGGCCTCACTATTTCAGAACTTAGAGTCATTCTGCAGGACTGTGAACGTCAGTTGCTCACAAAAGAGGTCATTATTGCCGATACTCTGCCTACGGCGAATAATACTCAGCGGTTTTTGAAATTTCTAAGATGTATATCACCTGTAAATACCTAGAAGCAGACCTCACAGAATCTCACAGGCAGATACACACGTTTCAACCGATGACAGAGAATATGCTAAAACACAAAGTCAAACACACACAGAGAATAAAGCAGTAAACGACACAAATTTGTTAACGCAGTTCGGAGCAAATTCTCCTACGTCTGCGAGG